TTCTACTCATAACTTTTTTAAAAAGTGAAAAATAAGCACGTTTTCTGAGTTGGCTTCCTGACTATCAGGCTTGAGGGCTCAGTTCATCTCCATTTTTTCTCTTTACAGTTAGAGTTTCAGTGTCAAGTCCTACCCAAATTAGGTTTCCACTTCCCCCAGATTGGTCAAATCATCCTTTGTGAAGAAATGCTGAAGCTGGTCTTCAGCAAGGAAAGTAGGCAAAGGACCTCCTTGCAGCAAACTGAAATTCTTGTGTGCCCAAGTGAAAAGACATGGGTTTATCAATAGGCTTTGCATATTTACCAAAAAAGAGACCAGCTCCATAATACTGTTTCCGTTCTAATGCTTCTTTATCCTCAGAATTAATGTAGCTTTCTCCTTCTTCTTTGAAGAGCTTGTCACATATTTCATGCATCATCATACCCAAAAATTCCCAGCTTGGACCACCATAATCTTGAGTGCTATCACCTGTAAAGATCACCTCTGAAGGTACACTAAAATCAATCACTGGCAGATCTTCCCTCAATATCTCTTCCATTGTATCATCAAAGAGGTGGTAAGGAGAGACAATTATCTACATGATCTTTTCCTCACACCCTTCTGAGTCGTTTTTAAGGTCAAGCATTTGCCCTCTTTCTAACCTTCACCTGAACTTCCCTAAGACACTAACAGGTTCATTGCAAATAGCCCTGAAGTAAATTTTAAATGATCAAAGATGTGTAATGCCTGTGAAATTTGAATAATTCCCAAAAGTATGCCACAAACACCTGCACTAAACCAGTCCATTAATGAGCAGTCAGCCCAATTGTATCTAGCCTCTTATTCAAACAGTTGAGTGCCAAAGTCAAAGTGGTAAAATCAACTAATGGATCTCTGCATATAGAGACCCAGTGTCTTTACTTTGTGATCAAGGACAACTGAATACTTTGATATGCGTTTAACTGTATTATTACTCCATGTAAATTGGCAAACAAACTTCTATCACGCCTAGTGAACAAACTAGAATGAACAAATAAACTAGCTAACTAACGATTCACTGAAATAAATACAATACACATTAGGAAATAATATGGCGAACAAAGAAACTAAAACAAAATTGACAGATATACAATGTACTTACAAGTTTTTCGTGTTTAGATCATGGAGAAACTGAGTAAGCTCGAAAACACAAATTACAAAACATGCCATGTGCTTTCATCAAACTCGACATCTCAAAATGCATAAAACAGCAAGGCTAGCGGCTCATTGTATTTAAGCTGTCCTAAAGTGTCCTACTTGAAGCCAACACTGCACATAAAAGGTTGTGCTTAGCACATTACATTGTCAGAGGAATGCCTAATTTTCCCTTTCCTTCCCTTAAAGTGATATCACAACGAAAGTTCATGCACCCAAACACCAACTATACTGTAGAATACAGAAAAGACAACTAAGCAGAATGTTTCTTCTAATGCATTCCTCAAATGCTCCTTGTATGGGACAGGTTCCCTAGATAGATAGCAGAAATGACTATTTGAGGGGGCTTTTGGCAGGATGGTAGAAGTTTTCATGTAATGTTCATGATGTTACAATCAACTGTAAATTAGTGTATGAGAGGAACAGCAGTAAAATGGATGTACACATTGTCAGTGCATAGAAAACAATACATGATTGGAGTCTCATTCCTTCAGACACACTTATTAATGATAAGAAACTCTACAAAACCCAATAAATAATCAACCTCAAAGGGTAGTTTTAACGTGGCTAGGAAACTCACTCTTCCTGGGTGACTGCCTTGCCATACTAGTTGGAGCCTGTTCAGTGCCAAGAGGAGGGTGATCTAGCAGTTTCAGTGAATTCTGCTTAGTGCCACCAGGAGGCTGATCTGGTAATTCTGCTGGGTTACCTCACTATTCCTCCCTGAGATATTGATTATTTTGCTTTATAAAGACTACTTTCAGGCTGAGTAAAATGCCCCACATCCTCGGCAATATATCGCTAAAACAATATATCATAAAGCATGTGGAACATCATCTCGATATAATGCTTCAATAAAATATTGTTCCAGCGATTTATCACTGAATCAGGAATGACTCATTGCAATATATCGTTATAGTGATATATTGCCTCAGTGAATTTTCTTATGGCAAGAAATGCTTGTCTACTATATCTCATTCAAGCGAAATAATTATAAGTTATTTCAGATTCTTCCCCCATGATGTTTTGGTATATGTACATTGTTAATGTTATTTATATAGCAAAGCTAACATTCAATGACAGCATAGTCAATAGGTACATGTAATTATACTAAATGCAGCCAGTTTAAAATGGGGCTTTATTTAAAGCTCATTGCAGCAATGTGAAAGGAGGCAGGCCACAAGGGAAATATTTAGATTTAATACTTGAAAAAATACGTTATGTTACAAAACAAATTATTTTATTAAAGTATTGCTCACTGCGCCTTTAGGATGAAATTGGTAAATCAAGATCAGTTGAGTTTGGGTGCTTTTCTTTTTCATTTTCTCACAAATGCTGGCAGTGTTTTCTAATACTAACTTTGCACATATCCCACATGTGGCTTGTTTTGTTGGTGCTGTGGCACTGGTAAGAATAGCCCTTGATCACCTCAGCTAAAAAAAGAAAAGAAAAACAGAAAAACAATGTATGAATTGTTGCAGCGCAAGCGGGGGAGGGTGTTTCTTACCAGTACAACATACAAATCATAAAAGCAAACCAAAACAAAACAACATAAAAACAATTTGGTTGGAGAACATTATACATTTCATCGAAGTAAAATTACAAACTTTTATTAGCATACCTTTTATAGCTGAAATCTTTGTTTGATCAAGGCCAGAGAATTCCATCGAGTTGAGCAAAGTAGCACCTCTTTAGAAAAGAGCTTTTCTAAAAGCCTTAAGGTCATTGCTGAAGGCTTTGATGCTGCAACTGCATAGTTGTAATCGTCACAAGACAACCGCACACCCTCAAATCCACCAACTGTAATGGTTTCTAAAAGTAAAAAGTGTGGTATTTAGCCTATAAACACCTCAATTCTCAAATTGCTACTAACCATGAAAGTTGTTGCAAGTATAAGACAAAAAACTCACCTGTTAAGTTGGAATCACTCGGTAGCCTCTCTAGGTCTAATAGTGGCATCATCTGACGTGTCTTTGTTGGATACTGAGGGGACCTATTCACAGGCCAGCTGGTCGGTGCTAAAATGGAAAATTTCTTGGTCTGATTGTGTAAAGGAAGACAAGGAGTAAACTGCAAGGACAGTCTAGAAGCAGTCCTTTCCTTGACCAGTGTAGCCTTCATCTCTAAAAGCCAGTCAAGTTTCGCCTCTTGACGTGCAAAAGAACATTCTAAATGTTCCAGAATTGTTCTGGCCAATTGAAGCTCCACGACAAATTCTGACTTTTCGTGATCATTTTCCTTCTGGTACACCTTAATGAGAGAGAGATACAGTAGCTGTTACATCCAACACTTGGAAATTCATCAATCCTGAGTACCTCTTGGCAAATGAAACAAGAAATATAAAAACTTGGGTTGGATTAATAATGGTAGTTGAACTGAGTGGAGTGCAATTTGGGCTGAAATCATATGCGTGAATTCAAAATCGAACGAGCACGCAAAATCACCCAACTGACCTTTTTCCCACAGGGCTGACTCTTCTTCAGGTGTGATTGGTTGAGCTTTGTTGGGTCTCTTTCCCTTTCCTTGTTGACACAGGGAAATTGCTTTCGCATTGAGGATTTCTTGTGAGGAGTGAAACTCTCTCGATCGCATGATGCTCAATGGATAGTTCTTCTCCTTTAGATAATGTTCAATGGCACTCTGCATGATTTTAAAGGATTCTGGCTCGTAGTCATCTCCGTCCTTTTTTTTTCACCTCAGCGTAAAACTTACTCAAGACCTTGTCAAGTTCTTCAGGTGCCATTGTTTCGATGGAGACATATTCAAGATGGCGACATTGACACCAGCTTCTGAAAACATTCATCCATTGTTTTGTGGAGCGGGAAATATTTTTATTTGAAGCGACAGACTGAAGCTCCTGTATAGGAAATCTTGAAACATCTAACTTGTGTGGTGGCTTTTGATTTTCTTTGTTTGTTGCTGACTCGGTGGACTCGGGATCGCGCGGATTTTGAGCTTGAGAGGGTAGAAAATCGTCAAAATATTCACCAAAATGTACACAAAAAGAGGGAAAGTCCCTGGAATGTTGGTCTTCAGCCTGAAGGATCTCATTGTCATCATTCAAAAACTGGAAAAAGTTAAATCCATCCATTTTTTTTTGGGGGGGGGGGAAATAAGAGTTATGGAAACAAAAGTTGCAAAATTTTCGAAATGATACTCTTTGTCTTTCATTTTCCTGAAATTTGATTGGTTACTTTAAACAAGCCTTGAAATCTGATTGGTTATTTTGTTTTAAGTGTAACTTCCTCATTGGCTGGGAAAAAGATGCGATTTAGAGCAAAAAATTGTGCGATTCGTGAATAAATCGCACCAATTAGAGCCAATCAGATCACAGGGACCACCAATTTCAAAATGGACGTAATAAAGAATTTAAATTGAACTTGCAAACTATCTGAAATTGCCTATTGAGTAATACCTCTGTTCTCAATTCAAATTTAGTAAATTGGACAGGAATCTTATATCATTCGTCTTTTCCACTGTGATGATTGCCTTGTTTATCGTCTCTCTAGGACTTGACCGCTCAACTACATCTTCAGGGTTCAATAAAAAGTCACCATGGCGTCTGGTAACAATTGACAAGATTTCGTCTGAATGGGATGGGGAGAGGAAAAGGCAGCCAACAGAGGTTCTAAGTTGTCTGAATCTCTGTCGCTGTTCCTTACGTAGTTGTCATTTGTGGGAGGCTGTAGGTCAAGGATCTGTGGATAGGTAATTGTTTAACCAATTATTGTTTAAATTTAAATTATTGGACTCAGAAGTTATGTGAAGCGTCTCAATTATGGAACATTAGCATTATAAGGAAGATCACAATTGGTTTGCATACAGCCAAACTTAGTGATTTTTGGCAAGTGATTTTCGTCAAGTTGTTTCACCGATTTTTATGAATAATATGAGACTGACATAAAATGACAGCTAAGAAGAAGTAGTATATTGTGACATCACAAGTGCGTACAAATGCAGCAAAGTTTACAGAAACGGACTTGGCATTCTATTCTGTGATAAGCACAAAGAATGTCAACGTGATCTAAAACACGAGTTTTGTTCTTATGAATGCCATTCTTAATCAAATCTAGTGAAACTTGTATCATATGGAAGCCCATATCTTGATGTCTGTTTATGTTTTAGTTTTGTTGATGCAGAATTAAGAGTGCAGGCAAAGGTTTAGTCACTTGGCTGTCTGGCATAAATTGTGTTTTGCATAGTCCAGAAATGGAGAAGTAATATTGTTGATGCTTCTAATTCCACAATATATAACTACAACTTAGCCTTCATTTGATGTAGGTTTCGTATAAGAGGCTGCACATGATACCTGAGTCAAAGTGAATTGAATCAAGTGACATACTAAATGAAAATAACATTATTGAG